GTAGGCCTCATCCTTACCCCACCCGAATCAGAGGGAAATGGTGAGCCTCATTAATTGGTGCGTTACCCCCTTTCAAAGCGGAATGGATCCCTACATCATGGGCCAAGAATTTCGGGAGCGTTTCGCGAGACCTACGACAACCCAGCTATATAAGGGCATCAACCCCCAAGACTCAGGTATACGCGATTACTTGCTCACTTGCATTATATCATTCAAGCTTTCAGTTTACAAGCAGAATACAATACTGACTTAAGCATCAGAGCGACCTCACCGGGTTAGCCACCCTATGTTCTTTGATCCTTTGTCTTGCAGCTCGGTCTAGCTCTCTACGCAACTAGTTCCCCAGTGATCTTCCAGCTAGGAGCTTCCAGATCGCGCACCATCATAAACATGGATACTAGCTAACTCTGTTCACGATAAAAGGTATAACAAAAATATACAGTCAAGAATTAGAAGAGATAAGAGATGAGGAAGCTTTACAAATACAAATAATAAATACTTAAATGTGACGGTAAGGCTCGATTTGTTTGCAGTGCAAATTTCATTTGCATTGGTGTAAAATGTAAATGTAGGGAGTGCAGATGGGCTGAGTGTAATATCTGAATTATTTTTATTTTATATTGACTTTATTTTATTTGTTTGTAAGAAGTAAACTAGAAACTAAAGTGATGTGGTCTGAAAGAAAATGGAGGCAAAAGGAAGGTTATTAATTTGGCAGGAGTAAGATAGGAGCAAAATAATGTAATCCCCACTTTATATGAGATTAGTAATTAAGCACATGCGTTGCATGTGAGAAAATTTTCTTCATATTAATTACTTGAATATTAGATATATAGTTAAGATAGAAATTGAAAATTAACAAAAGTAACAATATGATTAAAAATAAACTTAAATATTTGTAGAAAATAACAATTATTATTATTATTATTATTAAATTTTGTATTGCATTTTTATCATAAATAAAAATAACTTTTATTTTAACAATTATTTTTATTTAATATGATGAATATATAACATCAGAAATGTTCTCAAATGTTTTCGACAAAATTTTGTACATTTTCATTTTTGGTGTTCTATCATTTTTTAAATATTTATTACTCAATTATGATATCATGGGTTTCTTTAAAAAGTTGGATCATTGACCCACCATCTAGATAAGAAAATAGCTTTGCTTTTGGATTAGCTTTAAATTAGGGAAAAATATAGTCGGAGCCAGCTGTACATTTAAAATTAGGCTACAAGTTGGTCTATAAACCAACAATCTGACAACTGACTCTACATTTCAAATTATAAAAACCCTCGCCATTTCATCGGAGGTTTATGTGGTTCCTGCCAACATGGGACTCTTAATCCATATTGGACACAACAAAAACTTATATTTGACTTTGACATCATTTCATTTCTATGTAGATTTTATAGTTTGCATTCCAATTTTCATCATTAATAAAAATACTTCTTACATTTCATAATTATTTATTTTAACTTTTTATTATTTAATTATGGCATTATTTATTAATCCATTTGACCCAAATGGTCGAATTGCTTGCCCACCACCAGGAGGGAAGAAAATGGTTTTGTTTTCAAAATATTTATTTTTATACTACTAAAATTAATATTTTGGACTTAATTACAAGAATTTAATGATGAGAAAAATATATCTTAAATATAGGATTTAATGAGTAGAATAGGAAAATGTTTTTATTTCTAATTGGTTTGAAATTTACATTTCATTTCCATCATTAATAAAAGTATTTCTTATTTATCATACTTATTATTGTTTAATATGTATGTTAAAAATGATGTCAAATTTTTAATTTCTATTTTTTCATTTTTATTTAATTGTGGCAACATGGATTGACCCATTTGACCTAAAATGGTTTAATTTATTACTATCACCTAGATGAAGACACTATTTTTGTTAGGTAGACTTTAAAAGTATAAGTTTTTATGTTATTGGAATTATTAATTTATTAAGTATAAATTTATTTAATAAAACTTAATGATAAGGAGAAACAAAAATGACTTAAATATATGATTCAATGAACATGAATGCAAGTTAATAATTTAAATGTTGGATTTAATGAGAGAGAGTTGAATGCATTGTATATCTTATAATTACATCTTTTAAAATCATTTAATATCAAGAATCGAATACCTTATTTGCCCTCATTTTTTATCAATAAATTTAAATATAGAGGGATAAATTTTATACTTAGAAAATTACAGAAATATTCTTGAGGCCATTAGTACTTTTTAAAGTAGTATAGATAGATAAAACCAAGGTAGGAGGATGGTGGTTATTTATTTGTGTCAGATCAGATTTTTAGATGCAAGATTTGCAGTGCCAAAGAGTGTGAATAAGATAAAGTATAAACTTTGTATCAAGTAGGAGAGCAAACCAGGGTTATTAACAAATGGGTGCAAAACTAAGATGGGTGTAAATTTTGCATCTAATTTAGATTTACACTGCAAATAAACAGAGCATTTTCTTAAGGAGCATCAATTCCCGTACTAATGACTAAGGTGGTATTTGATGGGGCATTTTCTTAATGGCAAAGGAGTTGAGGTGTACCAATAATTATACTATTAAATTGAATGGGTAAATAATTGTCCTCGATAAATTGGGATGCAATTAATTGTCTCTCACATATTTTTGTACGAGAGAATTATGAAATGAACGAGTTAGGTTTTGGGGCACAATGGTTGCGTTGCTCCATTGTGACTTGGGTGACCAGGATTTAGATATTGGAAACAGCCTTTTTGTATGTGTAAAGGTAAGACTGCGTACATCAAGGTTTTTAAAATTGAATCGGACAATGAACTGATTAGGGGTCTGATTCTCGGGGTGAATGGTCCAGTTGTTTGAATCAAATGAATGGCCTGTTTTGACAATAAATAAATAAATAAATAATTAAAAATTAAAAAAAATAAAAAACAACTAAAACCGTTGAACAGTGCAAATGGTTTGACTGTTTGAATTAATGATTTATTGACCAAACCAAAGGTTTTTGGCAACATAATGATTCTGAATAAAACGGAACTAATCACCTAATTGATTCATGATTTTTCTGGTCCGACCATCCAATCCGATCCGGTTTTAAAAACCATGGTATACATCTGTCCCTCCCCAGACCCTATATCTGTGGTGGGTGCCTCATGCATTGGGCTGCTTATTTTAATTATGCAATGGATATGTAAATACATCATACATGCATATGCACACATACATATACACCCATAAACGTATATAAAAGACATGTATCTATGCATGCCAAAAGAGCCATCTTAGGGGGATAGTCTGGGTTGGGTAGGTAAAATCCAGACACCAAGGACTTGAGACTCCACTTGAACCTGGGCAAAACCAAGAGAAGTTCATGTCAAGAACGGGCCTTGGGTCACCTCCTCCTTAGGTGGAGAGTGGGGACTGTTCTTCTTAGGGTTGAAATGTGTCGAGTCTTCACAACCTGTAGTTACCTTCTTTGAATAAAAAAAAAAAAAAAAAAGAATTCCAATCCAAAGTCTTTGTAACGCTGAAGTTCTTTAGTTTGAATTGCTGGGGGTGCAAATGGATCCGATCCAACAAAGTCTTGGATTCGGATATCTCCTATTTCGGATCTTCGGGTCATATATATATATATATATATATATATATATATATATATATATATATAT